CCGTTGAGCAGGAAGCCTTTTATATTTCTTAGTCTGTCAATAACAAAGTGCCTGCTCAGCATTCAGGCATGGCTGCAAAGAGTAGACAAGACATTAAAATGCATCAGGAAAGGGCTGGAGAAGAAATATAAAAATACTGTAGTGTTCTCATCACCCTAAATAAGAAACGTTAAGTGAAAGCTCACCTCCATGTGACTGCTCTCATGATACAAGACTGAAAATAAAAAGCAGCACACTTAAATACTCATGCACGCACATATCCATCATAATTAATTTTGGGAATGCATTACCATTAGCAGTTCACTGAGGCTGACAAGCAAGGATCTGCATTAATGCAGATAATGAGAATAGCTGTGGAAGACATTACTTGCGGTAAGAAAGTGTCTCCCTTCCCAAGAAAAAGACTATAAATTCTTACTACTCAAAACCTTACAAGCTACTGAGTAAATCAGTTGGGAAAAACTGCTGCAAGGGGTGGGTTAAGCCATCCATTACCTACTTTGAAAAGGAAGAGGAAGACAAATTGCAAGTGTCAGGTGCTTCAAAGTCTCACAGATGTCACTGAACCCAACAACATGTCACTCCCAAGCCGGCACGGCACATTGTCCTCACAGATGTGATACTGATGGCGCAGGCACTGTGAACTGCTGAGCTATTCATCAGTCAAGGGCACAGACTAACCTGGAAGCCAGGCAGCACATCGCAGTTATTTTTTTCTTGATCCTACCCCATGATCCTTCTAGTCAGTAAGAATAAACTGGTCCTTTTGAGCAACTTTGCTTTCCAGACCAGGGGAAGAGCTGCCTGCGCTGGCCGAGCAAAAATGATGGCCAGCAAGCAAAAAGCAAGCATAGGCTCTTGACGACCGTGAGATAAGAGAGGTCCGGGGCTAAGAGCGGTGTTGAGGAATGGCACCGAGATGGCCAGCAGCTCGCAGGCTGGTCCGGCTCTGGGCACACACCCTGTGGTGGGGGAGGACACTGAATCTGCTCATGTGTGGAATTAACGGGCCGCACCCAGCGGCTGTGCAGCATTGCCATAAATGGAGTTAGTGTAAAGCCCCTTTTCCACACAAAACTCAAAGGTGCTTCACATCGCTGCTCAGCTTTGTGCCCCACAGCCTGTGCACATGTGCCTTTGGTGCAAAGGGTGCCTGGTGCAGTCAGAGCTCCCCCAGGGTGAACGTTGTCCTTGTTTCTCTGCCTAAATAACCCCTTCCAGTCCTCCCAGTAATACTCACAGCTACTCAACGTGTGTGCTGGGTGAGCAACCGAGCTGAAAGTTGTGCTCTGAGCAGGTTTGCTGAATTGGGTGCAAGGGAGAGCTCACCTTTAAGTGATAGGCTCGGGAACCCAGGTCCTTGTATTGGAGCTCACCAAACCTGGGTGGTTTCGTCCTCTGTGTCACCTGGAACAAACCTTCCTCCCCCATCCACCGAGCTACAGTGGATAATGCCACTCCTCTTTTGAGAGAGGGCTTTGAAATCTGCTCATGAGAAAGGACGAGATAATAGTATTAATACAGACAAAAATAAAGCAGGGATTTTCAAAATGTCAGTTGACCAAAAGGTGTCATTTTAGCTGAACAAGAGTTTCCAAGCAATGAATGACAGTATGTACAGACCTACTGAACCATGAAAGAGAATGGACAGACATTTGAGTGAAGCAAAGCTGACTCATTCGTAAACCCACATCTTTACATCGGGGTTCCTCGGAAGGCCAGCCTGCGTCCTCTCTTCAATTGCACTAAGCTGCCATAGAAAGGTAGACAAGGGGAAAAATCAGCTTAATTATATTAAATATAAATAACGATGAAAAGGTAAAAACAAGTTGGTTGGTTTGTTTTCATACAGCACTTAGGCCACCACAGTCAATCCCTAAACATAAAGCTGAATTACACACTTATCTTTTACTCTGGAAGACGGCTTCATCCCTTTTGATTGTGCAGAAGCATCGTGGTCAGCAGCCTCCTCCCAGTCTGCTCCTCTCAGTGCTCCTCTGTTACTAGGATGCTTCCAGTCTAAAACTGCCAGCAGAGATCTACACTCACACATTTTCCTCCAGGAGCTCTTAATGGTTTCCAGTTTTATCCAGCATCTCTCTGTCAACACAGCCAGAGACCAACCTCATCAACTCCCATCTCTTATGCAAATATCTCCATTTGACTTGATTTACAGCTAGAAATCAAGAGCCATTTAGTAATGTCATTCAAAATGATCATTAAAATGGTGCTTAAGGCAATGCCTACAGAGCTTAACAGGACTTTGCTACTCCAGGCACGAAAGAAGCTTTTAAGTACGAGACTGGAAATGAATAGTCAACACAACTGTGGTGAGATTTCTAGCATTTGCATAACTAGTAAGACCATTCAAAGGTGATGTAGTACTGGTTGTATCTGCAGTCATCTTACTGTAACACAGCAACGATGTACGCAGGTGCCACTGGCAGTCATGAAGAAATCACTCCTAATGGAGCAGGCACTATCAATGAGGAGACACCACGTTAGATGCTTCCAGGATAATTTTCTTTTTCACAGTCATTCAGCAGCAACATCCATCAGAAAAATCAACAAAATCCCATCTTTTGTGACAGTCATTGAGTCAAAGACACTTTTCACAGAAATGAGGCTCAAAAGTGGAAAAGCCCTTTGTCTGTTCCAGACCAGCAAAATCCAAGTCCTCTGCCAACTCCTTGATAGAGCACTGGCATGACTGACCAAT